GGTAAGGCCGTTAAAAACAAGTTAATCATGAGCACCGGGTGGTGGGCAGCTGTGACCCTTGGTCAGCTAACCTTGGTCAGTAAATCTTACATACCAAGCTTATCGTGCAGAACCTCCCTAACCATTGAGGAGTAGTCTTACCCTGCCCTTGCTTAACCCCAGGATATATGTCTTGCAAGAATAATGTATAGTTATAGAAAATTGCTATGAGTTAAGTGCTTTGAAATTGCTATATAAACCCTTGGCTCAGAGTGCTCGGGGTCCTTGTTGAGACCCGCTGCGTCGGGGCTGACTTGGACCCCAACTAGTTGGCTGAATAAAGACTTTGCTTGAATTTACATCTCTATGCCTGTGTAGTTTGTTCTCTGAGGAAGCCTCAGAAGCCTGCACCCTAACAAAAGTAAGTATAGTTAACGTTTATTCTTAAAAGATACTTCCAAGCTTGGAACATCCAAGGAGGAAAAAAGATGACTCTGTGATACTGAAACTTGAAGATTTTTAAAATTATGGTAATTTCAGTGCTTGAAACACTGAATACATTACATGTCATAAAACAGTGGTTAGTATGATATTTAATGATGTTTCAACGCCACCAACTAACTAAACAGAAAAGTTTATTCAGATTTTTTTAAAGGACTTATTTTATTCAGACTATTAAAAACAGGTTTTGATAAGATGGGCAAGGAGGAATATTCGTTTTCTTCTGTAGAATTTATTTCGGTAAAGTGATACATGATATATGCTTTTTCCCCAGAAATCTACATTAACTAAAAAGTATTGTTGATTATTCTTTGCTACAGTGATAGACTTAATTTTTTATTACCTTAAATCTTTCAGTCCAAGTATATTTTTTTTCCGTTCAACTTAATCCTCAAAATACTTTTGATACTATGGGGGGAAAATACTTGGACATCTATTTTTCGCCAACGTGTTCGATGACTTTTTTATCTGGGGAGAAATGGTCAAGTATGTGACTGTGTTTGATGACTTTTTAGTTTGGGGAGAAATGGTGAAGTGTGTGTCTGTGTTTTAATTACATGAATGAGCAAAGAGGAAATACTGGCTGTTTATAAGAACACTAAACTAAGCTCAGCTGTTTCTACATGGATAAAGTAAATCTCGGCTTAAAAATGAAAAAAAAAACTAAGCCCAGCGCTTAGACAAAACCTTAGCACCTTGCTTCCAGGTGCAGAACACAGAGGACGCTCAGAGGGCCTGGTCGAGCTGGGCCTCCAGCTCCAAGGTGGCCGCAGGAAACCATCGAGCCGTCGTCCTCCCGCGTTCCTAGAGCGGAGAAGAAAGCGTGCAAGGGAGCGAGTGCGACCCTCGGCAAAGAGCTAATTCGGTGCTTGAGAGCGTTCGGTCCCTCGTGCGGGTCTTCAGCTGCCTGAGTGGTGACTTTGCTCCGGGTTAGGGAGTGCAGACAAGGGCCTGTGAAGCAGCTAGAGCTCTGGGGGTGCGCAGAAGCCTTCCGCTACCGCGGGGCGGTCTGTGCTTGGCCGGCGCAGGAGCGGGAGATACCAGTACTGCGCGGCCCAGGAGGACGAAGCCGTGGAGCTGGTAAACCAGGCACAACCTTCTGCTGCGTGTTTCACCAATTGAGCGCAATTTTAAATACGTATTAAAGGTAAGCCTTAGAAGATAATATTTAAGGAAAAACCTGAAGGAGGTGGAAAGACCTACGTGGCTTTTAGGGCACGTGCTTTCTGGGCAGAGGGAACAGCAAGGGCAAAGGCCCGAAAGCGCGAGTTTTCTTTACATATTCTGGAAATAGCAGGGAGGCCAGAGTGGTTGTGTTACAGAAAAGACTGGAAAACCTGGACTGGATCACTGACGGAAGAACCAAGCGGCGCTCGGAGTTCTTGGAGTGTTGAGGTTTTATTTTACACCGGCGGGCTCAGAGGGGAGTAGTCTGCCAAGGTCTGAGCCCTGAGCACAAGCAAGGGGAGCAATTTATATTATTTTGATGTGTGGCACTTCGGCATGCGCTGGGCAAAAGAGGAGCCCGGAGGAGGGGAGGAGGGAGCTGGGAGTGTTTTGCCAACTGGAGGAAAAAAAGCGGTTTGCTGACCTTGACATCTGTGTTGAATATTTTCCTTATCAGTTGGAGCACAGTGAACAAGGGTGAAATTTGTAGAGGATGGTACTGGGGGTGAGGAGAGGTGTGTAGAAGACGTGGACACTATTATGTAAGGAATTTGGTCGTTTCTTGGGGTTTTTACAGGATTTTAAGCAAAGGAAAAACATGATCTGACAAGTTGTAAAGCATCTATAGCTGGGAACTCATGATGAGAACAGACTGTTGAGGGAGGGGCAAGAGTGGAATCAGGGAAATTATTGCAGGTAAATCAGGTGGGAAAGAAGGATGTCTTGGAATAGTATTACTGGTAGAGGTGGTTAGTGGTCAGATTAATGATCTGCTTTGAAGGTAGAGCCAACAGGATTTGCTACTGGATCAGATGTGGATTGTGAGAGGTAAGTCAAAGATAAATCCAAGCTAAATCCAAATTTTCAGCCTGTAGCTTCAAGAGATATTGGAGGAAAAAATCTGAGGTTCAGCCTTCAGACCTTGTGTAGTTATTTAACTCTCCTTGTCTCAGTTTCCTTCTTTGTACAATGAGGTTAGTAATAGTATCTTCACAGGTTTGTATGAGGATTAAGTGCATTAATACATGTGAAGTATATAGAACACTTGTGCTGGCTTACAGCTTTATGTTCTGAGACACAAAGTGTGTATGGGCATTAATGAGAAGAAAGTTGGGGGATCGAAGAATATTCCAGGCAGGAGTAAGATATGGAAGGACCCAACAGCAGGGAAGAGTATTGCAGGTTTGAGGAATGAAAGTTTATTAGATTATAAGAAAATTTTAAGCTATATTGTTTTAAACTTGCTCCCTAAGGGTAAGAATGAGCCACTAAGTGCAATACACACAGCAGAGACATAATCATGTTTCCTCTCTATAAAGATCACTCACTGTCTGCAGTGTGGAAAATA